GGCCTGGCGCCGGACGCTCCGCCACGTCTGGCTGCCAAGGGGATGGAGGAGCTCGACAGGGTCTACGATATGGACTCTCTGGAGCGGTTTTAGCAAGCCGACCCGAAGCCGGGGCCTCTCAGTGCTTCTACCCGTTTGAGGTGAGAACACAGGAGGATACCGGCTCCACACGAAGGCTATAGAATCTAGCGAACGTGTTAGGGGTCGTCCAGCCCGCAGCTCTACAAATATCTGCCAGCGAGGCGCCACAACACTTCTAGTACAGTGAGCTCGCAACCTGAACGGGCAGGGCACACCCTGTGCCTGATAAGCCAGGGTGATGGCATCCACAATCCAGTGGGCCATCCTCTACTTAGAGACGGCATTCCCCTTCTGCCGGCCTCCGTGACAGACAAAGAGCTGGTCTGAGGTCCTGAAGTTTTGCGTCCTGTCTACGTAGCATCTCAATGCCCTGGATGGGACAAAGCAAAGCTAGGGCTGGGTCTGCCTCCTCCGGGGGCAGCGCTTGCAGGCTCACCACCTGATCCCTGAAGGGAGTAGTGGGAACCTTGGACACATAGCCGGGCCGGGGCCTCAGGATTACCTGGGAGTCAGCCGGCCCGAACTCTAGGCACGAATCGTCGACCGAAAATGCGTGCAGGTCCCCTACCCTCTTGATGGAGGCCAATGCAAGCAGAAGCAGAGTTTTCATTGACAGAAACTTCAGCTCAATTGTCTGCAAAGGTTCAAATGGGCCCTGCTGTAGTGCTCTGAGCACTAGAGACAGGTCCCAAGAAGGTATGGAGGGGGCCGGGGAGGATTTAACCTTCTCGCCCCCCTAAGGAATCTGATGATCAGGTCATGCTTCCCCACCAGGCAGCAATCGCAGCCACGTAGACTTTAAGGGTGGAGAGAGACAGCCTTCGCTCCAACTCCTACTGTAGAAAGGACAGCATGACTCTGATCGGTCTGACTCCAGAGGAGGAGGTGGCAGGCGAGTTGCGACATGCGACCGCAGCGTAGACCACCCTGTTGGTTAATGTACGCAACGGTCGCAGTGTTGTCCATGCAACATGAAGTTTTCAGAGGTCTGGATGCGGGTGCCACAGGGTGCCCCATTTCTGAGTCAGTAGATCCTTCCTCAGAGGAATCTGCCAAGGAGGGGCTGTCACGAGGAGCATCAGTTCTGGGAACCAAGTCCGAGTGGGCCAGTAAGGCGCCACGAGCAGGACCTGCTTCTACGTGTACTTGCGCAGGCCCCACGGTCAGCTGTGTGCCAGTGCGTCTGTGCCGAGTGTTCCCTCGGTCAGGGAGTAGAACAACTGGCAGTGAGAGGTTTCTGGAGAGGCAAACAGGTCTACCTGAGCGGCTCCGAAACGACTCCAAATCAGCTCGACCATCTGGGGATGGAGTCTCCATTCTCCCGGGGACGCGCAGCTCGTGACAGCTCGTCAGCTGCCCGGTTGTGCAGACTAGGAATATGAATAGCATGAAGCGACCTCAGATGCTTCTGACTCCAGAGGAGTAGGTGGCAGGCGAGTTGCGACATGCGACCGGAGCGTAGACCACCCTGTTGGTTAATGTACGCAACGGTCGCAGTGTTGTCCATGCAGACTAGTACATGCTTACCTCGTAAGTGCCCTTTGAGACGGATCAAGGCAAGGCTCACTGCCAGCAACTCTAGGCAATTGATGTGCCCGTGCAGTTGGGGTCCCGTCCAAACCCCTGATACTGCAAGCCCATCGAACATGGCCCCCTCAGCCGGTGGTAGAGGCATCCGTGTGAACCACAGCATGCCTGGAGAACTGCTCTAGGGGCACTCCTACCTGGAGAAACGCAAGGTCTGACCACGGGGTGAAGGTTTGGCGGCAGGCCGGTGTGACTCGGACCCGGTGAGTGCC